CGTCGGATACCCGTTTCTTCGTGTTGTTACCCTCACTGACTTTCTTCCCGACTCCTCTTGGAGAGTTGGGTTTGTGCGGTCTCACACAAACAACCGTAGGTTTCCGAAAACGGGAGGAACATTTGCTCTCCCTCACGTTAGGCCCTCCCTCTTCTCCTGCTTCCTTCTCGCTACTACATTTGGGCCATTTGTGCCTCCATATCCTGTCCCACTCTAATATTTTGTACTTCGGAGTTGAGGTGAAATTGGCCTCCATCTTCCACTTCCTAATGTACTTCGGAGTGGCACCGAAATCCTGCAGAAAGGAACAAGGCAGCCATAGTTGGGTTGGTTTCTCCCCAGATTGAAGAAGACTTGCTGGACCAAGTGTTGACTAGAGTCAACTCTGAAGGAAACCCCTCTGGAATTAAATAAGTCTTCTCCAGCTGGGATTAACAATGGGATTGTAGATCCCATCTTCCTCATCCAAAATGTAGGAGGACATAATGAGATGTCTTGGGATGGGACCTAAGTCTAAACATGGAATTCATTTATGATTCATATGCACCGCATACCTTATAGGTCTAGCACAGGTATGGACAAACTTAGGCCCTCCAGGTGTTTTGGACTGAAACTCCCACAATTCCTACCGGCTGTTCAGAATTGTGGAAGTTGAAGTCCAAAACACCAGGAGGGCCAAAGTTTGCCCATGGCTGGTGTAGCGTAACAGTAGTTTTATATACAATAATTTACATAATTTTGTGTACAAAACAAAATATTGTATCCACTGAATTATCCAAAAGCAAATATGCCACTATTCAACTACTTGGGTGGTTGAGTTTTGGAGCATTTCGGATTTTGGAATTCCAGATAAAGGATACTCAACCTTTATTTTGAAATATCAATTTTCATGTTTTTAAAAGCCAGACTATAACGCCATACAATCCTTAAAGAATACATATAGTAAGCATGGCTGTTTAATGGGTTGTTGTAGGTTGTTTCGGGCTATATGGCCATGGTCTAGGGGCATTCTCTCCTGACGTTTCGCTTGCACCTATGGCAAGCATCCTCAGAGGTAGTGAGGTCTGTTGGAACTAGGAAAAAGGGGTTTATATATCTGTGGAATGGCACATGCTTGTGGATTTCAATGGCTTCTCTGTGTAGTCTGACATGGTGGTTGTGAGAGTGGTCCAGCACTTCTGTGTTCTCAAATAATATGCTGTGTCCAGGTTGGTTCATCAGGTGCTCTGCTATGGCTGACTTCTCTGGTTGGAGTAGTCTGCAGTGCCTTTCATGTTCCTTGATTCGTGTTTGGGCAATGCTGCTGCGTTTGGGGGTCCCTATGGAGACTTCTTGTCCACAGCTGCATGGGTTTACGGTAGACTCCTGCAGAAGTGAGAGGATCCCTCTTGTCCTTTGCTGAGCGGAGCATTGGTTGGATTTTCCTGGTGGGTCTGTAGATAGTTTGTATGTTGTGTTTCCTCATCAGCTTCCCTATGTGGTCAATACATTACAAACAATCTACAAACCCACCAAGAAAATCCAACAAATGCTCCATTCAGCAAAGGACAAGAGGGATCCTCTCACCTCTGCAGGAGTCTACTGTGTACCATGCAGCTGTGGACAAGAAGTCTCCATAGGGACCACCAAACGCAGCAGCATTGCCCAGACACGCATCAAGGAACATGAAAGGCACTGCAGACTACTTCAACCAGAGAAGTCAGCCATAGCAGAGCACCTGATGAACCAACCTGGACACAGCATTTTATTTGAGAACACAGAAATGCTGGACCACTCTCACAACCACCATGTCAGACTACACAGAAAAGCCATTGAAATCCACAAGCATGTGGACAATTTCAACAGAATGGAGGAAACCATGAAAATGAACAAAATCTGGCTACCAGTATTAAAAACTCTAAAATTGCAACAGCACAACAACAGAGAGGAAACAAACAAGGACATCTAATCACCTCTCAACAAAAAGTTTGCTCCAGGCACTGTCAGGCCATTATATGCTAATCAAGGTGGTCAGTTGAAACATTCACACCTAGCTCCAGCAGACAAGAGTCCTTTGTCCCACCCTGGTCATTCCACAGATATATAAACCCTTTTTCCTAGTTCCAACAGACTCACTACCTCTGAGGATGCTTGCCATAGATGCAGGCGAAACATCAGGAGAGAATGCCTCTAGTACCATGGCCATATAGCCCAAAAAACCCTACAACAACCCAGTGATTCCGGCCATGAAAGCCTTCGATAATACATGGCTGTTTAATGCTATCACTTTTAGGAATGCAATTAGTGGAGAGCACCTAGGAGGACTTGGCAAGATATAACATACTGTATTGCTCCGATTGTAGGACACCTTTGATTGCAAAACACACTCTAATTTCAGTGCCACCGAAACCATCAACAGAAATACATAAGATATGCCTGCAATGCTAAGACGCACCCATTTTTTCGAGTGTTTATATAGGAAAAAGCATGTTGTAGACCTTTTTGGGATTCCTCATCTTCGGAGGAGGAAGGGGAGCAGGGAAGTGCTCAGGAATTGGAGGGAGAAGGAGAATCAGACGATGAGGGTTTGAAAGTGCCCACATTTTTAGAGAGACGAAAAGAGACAGAGCACAGACGGCATTCAGCCAGAATAGCTGCTAAAAACACTGAGCTAATTGAGAGACGCCCTAGCACCTCCTGCGTGGGGAATTCAGGGCTATAAATCAGAGGCAGGAGCATAGAATCATAGAATCAAAGAGTTGGAAGAGACCTCATGGGCCATCCAGTCCAACTCCTTGCCAAGAAGCAAGAATATTGCATTCAAATCACCCCTGACAGATGGCCAGTCAGCTTTCGCTGGTAACAACGACCCTGATACTGATGTTTTCACTCCAATGGAATCTGCTTTGTGTCTGCTGCTAAGGACTTCGTTCATTGCCCGTTGTCTGATGGAAGACTGGTGTTTCTTTTGGGATTTTGTAAGAGACTTTAATTTGTGTCTGGATTAAGACTTCCTTGCTTTCTTTTGTATTTTTCAACTGCATTTGCTTATCCTTTGTGTTTGCTGAAGTAAAGCACTTTTCTTTTGCTTTGAACATTGTCTAAAGGCTGTTTTTGAAGGGCAACTCAGGACAGAACTGAAGAAATACAGTAAAGGTAAAGATTTCCCCTGACATTATGTCTAGCGTTTTCTGCTTCCCTGGAGACTAGGACGCAAGGGAACAATGGCTTCAAACTACAAGCGAGGAGATTCCATCTGAACATGAGGAAGAACTTCCTGACTGTGAGAGCTGTTCAGCAGTGGAACTCTCTGCCCCGGAGTGTGGTGGAGGCTCCTTCTTTGGAAGCTTTTAAACAGAGGCTGGATGGCCATCTGTCAGGGGTGATTTGAATGCAATATTCCTGCTTCTTGGCAGGAATGGGGTTGGACTGGATGGCCCATGAGGTCTCTTCCAACTCTATGATTCTATGATTCTATGATACTATGATTCTATGATTCTATGATGATTCTATGTCCGGTCGTGTCTGACTCTGGGACTCTGGTGCTCATCTCCATTTCTAAGCTGAAGAGCTGACATTGTCCATAGACACCTCCAAGGTCATGTGGCCGGCATGACTGCATGGAGCGTCATTACCTTCCCGCTGAAGCGGTACCTATAGATCTACTCACATTTACATGTTTTCAAACTGCTGGGTTGACAGAAGCTGGGGCTAACAGCAGGAGCTCACCCCACTCCACAGATTCAAACCACCGACCTTCCAGTCAGCAAGTTCAGCAACGCAGCGGTTTAACCTGCTGCACCACCGGGGGCTCCAGAAATACAGTAATTGTGTGTTATCCCAATTCTTAATGGTGGGAAAAAGCAGTGCGCTTTTAGTTTTAATTTCATGGCTTGCTATTTAAATCATTCATCTCTCACTCTGTCTCCGGGGGCCTCGGGGAAATGTTAGATGCTTTCAAGAAATTAAACATTTAAAAGGACACAAAGCATTGAGACATAGTAAGGCATGTTAAAACACTTTTGGGAGAAAGCGATTCGGCCCCAAAGGCTTGGCGGACAAGCTGGGTTGTCGCTCTCAGCGATTATATGCACCAGGGGCTGCCTGTTGGAGTTCAGCCTGTGATTGGGTCTAATGATCAGGGTACTGTGGATGCAGGGAATGACAATGTGGTTCATGTTCCAACCACATTCTTCTGATGGGAATGTTCCTGAAGGCATTGGGGATGATGGTCTGTCTCCTGGGCCTGAATTGTTACAAGAGGATTCTCAAGGCCTTGATCCTGGTCCAAGTTAATGAGCCTCTGAACAGAAGAAAACCCTATACGGTTCCGGCCCAGTGTATCTGTTCGAATGGATCTCCCTCTACGTCCCACCTCGGAATCTAAGATCTTCTGGGGAGGCCCTGCTCTCGACCCCGCCTCTATCACAAGTGAGATTGGCGGGGACGAGGAGCAGGGCCTTCTCAGTGGTGGCCCCTCACCTGTGGAATTCACTCCGTGGGGAAATTAGATCAGCGACATCCCTCCTTTCATTCAGGAAAAAATTGAAAACATGGATGTGGGACCAGGCATTTGGACAATCGGGCAGATAAAGAAGGACCTCAACGATGGACAGGAACTGACAAAATGGAATGGAATTATGGAACTCTGAAAGACGAACGCTGAGCTTGAGATTAGTTTTTATTGAATATGTTATATACTGACTGTTTTAACTGTGTTTAATTGTTTGCTGTTTTTATACGTATGTATGTTCTATATAGGCATCGAATTGCGCCTTTTTGTAAGCCGCCCCGAGTCCCCCCTCGGGGGTTGAGAAGGGCGGGGTAAAAGTACCCGAAATAAAAATAAATAAATAAGAAATACTTTCAATCAGCGAAGACAAACAAACCAGGCTCTCATGCGCTCAGCCAGATTACAACAGAGGCTGGTTGGCAATCCAAGGCTGAGAAAGAATCCGTTCTTGGCCGCATGGGAAACTCGGTTGTAGAGATAGCAGGGATAAAAAGTGTCAAGCACAGAATCTGTAACCAGACGAAGCAATGTTGGAATTAGGTCAAGATCTCATCTCAGGTTCCTGGATGCCTTGCTTTGCATTGATTCCTGTATTAAGTGCCTTGTTATTCACGTTAAAGCCCTTTGTTTGATTCATGTTTAGGTACTTTGGGTTTTTTGCCTTAGAAGTTCCAGTACTTGTTTTCATGGACTCTTTTGGACTATTTTCCTGGATTTTCTGTTCCTATCTATCTTTTCTACCTATTTGGATTTAATGTATTGTCAAAGGCTTTCATGGCCGGAATCACTGGGTTGTTTTAGGTTTTTCCGGGCTATATGGCCATGTTCTGGAGGCAATTTTTCTCCTGACGTTTCGCCTGCATCTATGGCAAGCATCCTCAGAGGTAGTGAGGTCTGTTGGAAGCAGGAAAAATGGGTTTATATGTCTGTGGAATGACCAGGGTGAGACAAAGGACTTTTGTCTGCTGGAGCTAGCTGTGAATGTTTCAGCTGATCAACTTGATTAGCATTCAATGGCTTGGAAGTGCCCGGGGGGAATCTTTTGTTGAGAGTGATTTTATGTGCCTGTTTGTTTCCCCTCTGTTGTTTTGCTGTTGTAATTTTTGAGTTTTTTAATACTGGTAGCCCGATTTTGTTCATTTTCATGAACAAATTTACTTTTGGATTTACTTTTTACTGTGGATTATTTTTACTGCTACTGCTTTTAGTTATCTTCAATAAACTGCTTGCTATCTTACTCAGCTTTATGGTGTTTGAAGTCAGAGGGATTCCTGGCCTGGAGTGCAGCACTGCCATGGATCCATCCCCTCTCCTCCCTCTTTGCCTCTCACCTTCTTGTTGCGGTACTTTATGACGAGGCCGGAGTTTTCGATGAGGAACTTGTCCCCTTTGCGCACGTCGACGCAGGCGCGGAGGGGCTTCTTGGCCACCGCCATGATGGCCTCGGCAACATTGGTGGAGATGTAGTCCTTCCTGCTCTGGATGCCCATCACGGGGGGCTCCGTCCGCTTTGGCACCCGGGCCTCCGCAGGCCTCTTGCTCCCAGGCGCCCTCCGGCCTGCCTCCGTTGGGAAAGACACACAACAGCAGCCGTTATAACACACACCCTGGCCCCAAACACAGGAGACCCACAACTGTCCATCCCTGCCGTTTACCCATCCACTGACACTCTATTTAATATTTCCACTGAACTTGGGATCCTTTCTAGCCAGTCTAAATCTTGGTATCATGGAAGAACATTAGATAGAAATGCTCCAGCATAAACATTAGATAGAAATTAGATAGAAATTAGATAGAAATGCTCCAGCATGCGTAAAATACAGTTCTGATGGACATGTGATGACACACCTGTGGAATGACTAAGTGGGTAATGATGAAATACCTAAAGGGGTCGGCAAAAATTGATGAGTCATGATCATGTGTTCAGAGTCAACAGAGACAATGCAAGAGACTCCACTTAGGCAGAAAAAAAGAAATGCAAAGAAACAGGATGGGAAACGATGCCTGGTTCGACAGCAGGATGTGTGGAAAAGATCTTGGAGTCCTTGTGGGGAGGAAGGGGAACATGAACCAACAATGTCATGCGGCAGCTTAAAAAGCCAATGGGATTTTGGCCAGCATAAATAGGAGACTAGTGGCTAGATCCAGGGAAGTCATGGGGAAAATACTGGTATTTTGAATGTTAATTTCAAAGATAGTATGTTTCTATGTATTATACAATAAAAAATACAAAAAAAAACCCATTTCATTTTTCTGAGTGTCCTCCTTGGTTTTCCCAGTTCCTCCCAGTGTTTACCTTGTCAGTGTATGATTTATGTATGATGTATGTTTAAATGCAATTTTATGTGATAGGATTGTAATAGATTGTAATAGAATTGTATTGCCAGGATGTAGTTTGACACAGAAGGGTTAATACAGCAAAGGAACCGGCTGTGAGAATGTGACCCTGAGTTCTTGCTGTGTGCAAGATTAGGGAGTGCCAAAGAGATAAACTCCCTTCCAACTGCAGTTTGTTGTGTGCCTATCTCTTTCGGTTTGTGTTCTTCTCGTCTGTCTGCTGATGGTGCATGTTGTATGTTTTGTGAGCTGCTTTAGTAAAGCTGAAACCTGCTTTTACCGGGAGACTCCAGAGTCCATTATTCTGTGCTTTTGCTCTGCTCTGCTGCATGCCAACATGCCATCACTTTTGTTCTGGATGGAGGTGTCGCCCCACGGGTCCCCTTTAACTGCTACATCCCATGCTACGAAAATCCTGGGATGTGTACTTTGGGGAGATGCTATCATTCCCTGGCAATGGATTCCAGATTCCATATTCCAACAGATGGGAAGAGCACTTCTCCTGATTCTGTAGGACTGTAACCCCAATCGGTCCTAGCCAAGGGGAGGATGATGGGAGAGGCAGTCCAGCAACATATGTCCTGCCTTACGTGATACGGGGCCACAAGGCCAAGGACTCACGCTTTGGGAGCGCAGGCGTCTTGGAGTGTTTCCGGAGGAAGTCTTTTGGGGTGGGGACCTGGAGCTTGGGGATCCCCATCGTTCGGCAGGGGTCCGTCTTCCTCTCCTCTATTTCACGTTTGACGGACGGCTTGAATTTGGAGACATACCTGTCATTCAGTAAGAAAGGGAACAATTGTGTACAGTAAGGCTACAGAACACCATCACCTGCAGTTTTGCTTAGGGGGAAATAGAAATTTTTGGAAGGACTATAACTCCTATAATCCTCTAGCCAGCAATACTGACCTTTTTGTACCCTGCCTTGAGCTATCAGGAGAGGTGAGTAATAAATAAATTTTGTTGTTGTTGTTTTACTGGAGACTAAGACATGGAACAATGTCTTCAAACTACACGAAAGGAGATTCCTCCTGAACATGAGGAAGAACTTCCTGACTGTGAGAGCCGTTCAGCAGTGGAACTCTCTGCCCTGGAGTGTGGTGGAGGCTCCTTCTTTGGAAGCTTTGAAACAGAGGCTGGATGGCCGTCTGTCAGGAGTGCTTTGAATGCAATATCCCTGCTTCTTGGCAGAATGGGGTTGGACTGGATGGCCCAGGAGGTCTCTTCCAACTCTTTGATTCTAGGATTCTATGATTCTATGACTATGAGAGCCATTCAGCAGTGGAACTCTCTGTCTCGGTGTGTGGTGGAGGCTTTTAAGCAGAGGCTGGATGGCCATCTGTCGGGGTGCTTTGAATGCAATTTTCTTGCTTCTTGGCAGAAACGGGTTGGACTGGATGATGGCCCACCAGGTCTCTTCCAACCCTATCATTCTATCATCTAAGAACTTCCTGACTGTGACAGCTGTTCAGCAGTGGAACTCTCTGCCCCGGAGGGAGTGTGATGGTGATATCGAGCTCTTTTGGGGGGCTTCTCCCAGTGAGGGAGATCCCTGGAGACCGCTAAAGGGGTCCCTGTCCTTGGTGAGCGGCCAGCAGGAGCCAATCCAAAGCGCGAAGTATTAGCAATCAATCTCACCAGAGGCTGAAGAGGTATCCAGTGACCGAAGCGTTTATTTCTGCGATTCAGCTGAAAAGGATGCGTTACAGGGATATTTCCACCATAAGCATACATTCATAGGAGTTACAGGCATTTTTATACTGTCAGAACAAAGGAAAAACAGTTTGAAAATCCTGCCCACCCTCCGTCAGCTGGCTTCGTCCTGATTGGCTGTCCCTGGAACAGCTGGGAGGAGGCCGGGCCGTATGTCCCGCCTTCCCTCCAATCGCCGGGCGCTGTTGCCTCCAGGGGGCCAATCGGAGCCTTTCTAGCGCTTCTGAGGATGGTCCAATCAGCGACCAGGAGGTGGGACCTGGTTTGACAGCTCATAGGGGGCGGAGTGCCTGGGAGGTGTCCGCCAGCCGATTGAGAACTTTTGTTCTAAGCTGTGGGGTGGCAGACGGAAGAAACAAAGGATTTCCTGATTTCTGATTACAGATGTGTATAGGCATGAAAAGGGGCTATTGGTGGTATTCGGATCTCAAACTCTGTGGACAAGGGGACCCTTAATCACAAAGGAGCTTACACAAATACCATGGGTTGGGTTAATCAATCCTTCTTTCCAGGTTTCGGTTGACTTATCTCTGGCCCATTGTCTGAACTCTGAAAATGTGCCCGGAGATAGGATCAACCCCGGCCCATGCAAAATGTTAATATGAATGATTTACTTTTGAGGAAATGAGGTTTCCTCCTGACAATAACCTCAGGTCACATTCTTTTCTGGGGCAAGGTTCAGAGGGAGGAAAGGTGGGAGGGGGAGAGAGTCAGGGTGCATCTTATGTGATAGATATCAATTATAAACATTTTCTCATGCTTCATACATTTCATACATTTCATTTCTGCCAGAATTATGATCTCCTTGGCGAAAGTGCACACGCAGGCGGAGGCTGTTCCTGCCCAGGGGCCTGGTTCGGAGTCCGTGGAGAAGGTCCAAGACGATGGGGCATCAAGTCAATAAGTAAAGGCAAAAGAATCTGTAAGGGGACTTCCAGGCGGAGGGGCGTGGGGCAATGTCCTTCGGAAAACTACATTTCCCTGATCAAGGGCCAGGGTCCAGTGCACAAGCCAGAGAATTCACAAAGAAGAAACAGGAACCCAGTTATGTGTGCTGGGTCAGGAAGCAACAGAATCCATTGTCCAGCCCTTGGCGAACTACAAATACTTGGGGGAAAAAGATGCTCCGCATCAATTCCTCCCTTCGAGGCTGGAAAATGGCCACGCTCATTTTCCCAAGCCTCGACAATTCTCTAGCACCCAGGGCCTCTTTCTAGACTGATTAGATTGTATTCTGTTGATTATTTTGGGGCCCAACTTAAGCAACAACAGCAGGACCCAGCAGGGTGGGAGAGACCAGCGGCAGTGTGTCCTTTGGGTTGGAGAAAGAAAAAAAAAGACTGAAGTAAGAAGGTGAAGACGGTGGAGGCAGGGGATGATGGAGTCTGTGATGGCAGTCAGCATGGAGCACTCAGGGGTCCCGAGTGAGTCCCCAATGGAGAAGGATGGCACATGGTGGAATTCTCCCATCTGGCAGTGGTCCTCAGGCCTCCTGGGGGCGCTGGCTCCTCCCTTGGTACTGAAACAAGGAGAGCAGCCGAAGAAGAAGAAGATGGGGCACAGCCTTGCTACTCCTTCTGGCGTGGCGCCTCCTGGTGACCGCAGACAGGTCCGGCTCTCCATCATCACAGAGACTCAGGGGTAGTGTCTAGGACAGTCAGAAAGAAGGTTTACAGCCCCCCCCCACCCCCCCTTTCCCAGCCCAAGGGTAGTTAGTAGGGAAACAAAGGGAAAACTTTCATACCTAGTGAGGACTTCAGTGGTCTCCTTTGGGCCACTCCTCTGCACAGCTTCTGGAACGGGCAGGGCCTCCTTCCTTCATGGCAGTTGCTGTGGGATCCTGGTTGCTCCTCCTGCGATGGCATTCCCCCGTGGGGGCTCAGATCAGCCTCTAGGGGGGGCTGTCTCTTCTGGGCGGCATGGGGTCTGGTCCCGCTCTCCTAGGATCTTCCTGTGCCATCTGGGTTCCACACAGGAAAGTCCACAGACCTCCCATCGTCCACCTCACCCAGGTAGTTGTCCTCAGCGGCAGGAGTGGATTATGGGTCCCACAGTTCGATCTGATGTCTGGCGGTCTCTTCACTGTGCAGAGGGGACCCCTGGACCTCGACGTCCTCCTCATATTTAAGGCAGTTAATGGGATAATTTAGACATACACATACATGCGCTCAGGGAAAGGGGAGGGAGGAAGGGCCAGGAAGGAAAAA